ATCCGTGAGTCCAGAATGATACCAAAAAAACAATCTTGCAAACAAACAAATAGAGGAATGGCTCTTCTTTACAGTAGAGTACCAACTAATAAATGCTAAAGGGACAGCAGAGTTAGAAAAGTAACTGTCGTGCAACTATTATAGCAATAACTGACTCAGGCGGGAATCATTAATAGATGCTAAAACCCCTGGGTGAAAGCTTGTTGGGGGATATTACACAGTCAACTCCACAGGAACCTTTATAGTGGGAAAATTTGGTGATACCACCTTAGCCATGTGATCAAAGTCAGCATCATCAATAAGGGTGACCTGACATCATATGCCAAAAAAGCATCCCCTGAATTGGATCATAAAGAAACAGACAAACTCTTAATGAGGGATAATAATATGGGCCTGACTCTCAAACAATGTCAAGACCACAAAAGACAAAGACTAAGGAACTGTCCAGATTAAAGGGGAATAAAGAGACGACAACTGCATGAAATGTGTGACTTTGGCAAAGATAATATTACCATAAAGGGTGTTATTGGGACAATTGTCAAAATGTGAGCATGGACTGAACACGAGATACTGGCGTTGGATCGGTGTTCAAATTTGAACATTGCAACGTGGTTACATAAGAGAACCTTCTTGTTTTTAGGAAGTTTACCCTGAAATACTTAGGACTGAAGAGTCATGATTTCTGCAACTTAATCTCAAATGGTTCAGGGGAAAGAAGAAAAGTCGGTGGGCGCCTGGGTGGCTCAGTTGGTTAAGCGACTGCCTTCCGCTCGGGTCATGATCCTGGAGTCCCGGGATCGAGTCCCGCATCGGGCTCCCTGCTCGGCGGGGGGTCTGCTTCTCCCTCTGACCCTCTTCCCTCTCGTGCTCTCTGTCTCTCATTCTCTCTCTCAAATAAATAAATAAAATCTTTAAAAAAAAAAAAAAGAAGAAAAGTCGGTGCGACACTTTGTACCACTTAGTGGATACACCCCAATTTGCCTAATATGTTCCCTACTATGGAACATTTAAAATTTTCCAATTAAGGGGCACCTGGCTGGGGCAGTCTGTAGAGCATCCGAGCCCCATGTTGGGTGTAGAGATTACTCTAAAATAATAATTAAAAAAATAATAATTCAAAAAATAATAATCTTTAAAATAAAAATTAAAAGAGAATTTAATAATAATTTTAAAAAAATAATTTAAATAATAATTTTAAATAATAATAAAATATAAAAAATATATAATTAAAAAATAAAAAATGTTTTGCCAATTAAAATCACTCATAAACCATGTGGCTATCAGTATCTTTAAGAATCTAATTTCTTCTTTTATTAGCATTTTTATTTTTTTTTATTTTATTTATTTATTTATTTTAAAGATTTTATTTATTTATTTGACAGAGAAAGACACAGCGAGAGAGGGAACACAAACGGGGAGTGGGAGAGGGAGAAGCAGACTCCCTGCCGAACAGGGAGCCGGATGCGGGACTCAATCCAGGGACTCCAGGATCGTGACCTGAGCCGAAGGCAGTCGCTTAACCAACTGAGCCACCCAGGCGCCCTATTAGCATTTTTAGAATGCCCACAACTGTGAATCCCAAATCAAAGAGTGTAGATGTTTTTTGGCCTTTAAGAAGAGTGGTAGCTTGAGATGCCAAGAGTGGCTGATTTAAATAGAAGGTTGTATGTACGGGGGTGGGGGGGTGTGTGACAGCATAGAGCTACAAATAGCAGGAGATTCTGAAAGCAGCTGCTGGGGCTACCGTGCACAAGACTCTTGTGTCACTAGGGAAAGCCCCCCACACCAAGCTCACAGCAGACCTTTTAGGCTAGTAACACCCCTGCCATTGTCCTGCGAACCATGGGTCTACTCCAAGCCACCATGGCCTACACCTAGATTTTGGACAATAAGGGTTTGTGATTAGCTGGCTCGTTGCCTCTAGAGGATTCTCTTAAGAACCACAATGTGAAGTTTTGTGTTTGGGAACCTCACAATTCTCCAAGGCAGTTGTAAAAATCAGTATAAACTGCAAATTGAAAAGAACAGGTATTTGGCCTAAAAGATATTCAGTTGAGAACAAATAAAAACCACTGGTAATGGGAGATATATTGTTATAACTACTTTGGAAAACAGTTTAGCATTACCTTTAAAAACGAATGTTAATTAGCTCAACCCAGTAATCCCTCTCCTGGGTCCACAACCCAGAGAAATGTTTGCCCACTGGCTCCGGGGATAAGTAAGGGGATATTCAGAGCAGGACTGTCTGTCACAGCAAACAAACTGGAAATAACTCAGTGTCGATCAGCTGGACAAGGGCTAAACAAATGATGTTGTAGTCATACAACAGAATATATTATGTAGCAGTGAAAATGAATATAAAGTGCAGCTATGCAAAATTATATGTGTAAATCTTAGAAACATGGCATGGAAAAGTGCCAGGCTCAGAAGTGTACTTATTGAATAATATTTTTATAAAGCTAAAACAAAACAATGTACTGTGTAGGGATATACTCATTTAAGATGTATTTTTTAAAGCAAGGGAGTGATAAATGGAATATCAAGGATGAGGAGTCAGGGGTATGGGATGGGAAAGATAAGAAGTATAGAGGTATTGGCAATATTCTAGTTTTTGTTTTTTTAAACATGCACTGTAAATGTCCTTCATAGGTGAAGAAATGCAAATGACTAGTAAAACATTGAAAAAAAATGTTTTTCCAGTAATTCAAAAGGAAAGAAAAACCACTCTTTTAAGAGAAATAACCATTTTTCATTAATCAAAGTAGTAAAGATTTATTTTTATTTATTTTTTAAAGATTTTATTTATTTATTTATTTGACAGAGAGAGCTAGAGGGCACAAGCAGAGGGAGGGGCAGAAGGAGAGAGAGAAGCAGACTCCCTGTGGAGCAGGGAGCCCGACACGGGGCTCGATGATGTGGGGCTCGATCCCAGGACCCCAAGATCATGACCTGAGCTGAAGGCAGATGCTTAACGATCTGAGCCACCCAGGCATCCCAAGATTTATTTTTTTTAGAGCAGGGGAGGGGCAGAGACAGAGGGAGAGAGTGAATCTTAAGCAGGCTCCACTCCCAGCACGGAGCCAGACTCAGGGCTCAATCTCACAACCCTGATATCATGACCTGAGTCAAAATCAAGAGTTGGACGCTTAATCGACTGAGCCACTCAGGTGCCCCTAAAAGTAATAAAGATTTTTTTATTTTTATTTTCTTTTTATTTTATTTATTTATTTATTTATTTTAAAGATTTTAAAAAAGCGAGAGAGGGAACACAAGCAGGGGGAGTGGGAGAGGGAGAAGCAGGCTCCCCGTAGAGCAGGGAGCCCGATGTGGGACTCGATCCCAGGACTCTGGGATCATGACCTGAGCTGAAGGCAGTCGCTTAACCAACTGAGCCACCCAGGCGCCCCCCCCCTTTTTTTAAAGATTTTAATAAAGATTTTTTTAAAAGGCTGTCCTCTATTAGGAGATAAAATGATACAACATTCAAGAAGTTTGGCCTTAGGTTCCCATAGTCTTAGGCTTATATCATTTGACCCAGTAATTTCACTTATAGGAACACAGGAGTATATCCTAACCAATTACCAGAAAGGTGGCTAAAAAGTTTTTGTACAGGACTGTTCTCAGCATTGTGTGAGCAATCACTTGGGGGAGAAAACAGCCCAACAACATGAGAGGAGTGAACAAATCATGGAACACTCAAATGTGGAATTTTTTTTTTTTTTTAAAGATTTTATTTATTTATTTGAGAGAGAGAATGAGAGACAGAGAGCATGAGAGGGAGGAGGGTCAGAGGGAGAAGCAGACTCCCTGCAGAGCAGGGAGCCCGATGCGGGACTCGATCCCGGGACTCCAGGATCATGACCTGAGCCGAAGGCAGTCGCTTAACCAACTGAGCCACCCAGGCGCCCTCAAATGTGGAATATTTTGCAGTTGTCAGCAATTGTGGTTCTTGAAGACATTTACTCTGGTCACCTGAATTCTGCTCACTCTGGTCACTCTGAATTCTGCTGTGTTTACTAGAAACCTCAGCAGTGATGGCAGATCTCAACTTGAGGTTTTCTCTGACCTGGAGGCCATCCATAGCCACCTAACTGGAGGCCAGACTCCATTCCTTTTCCCAGATGCTTAGTCTTTGCATTTATCTCCTTGGTTTTTTTTTGGGGGGGGGGGGCAGTATTCCTAATGGACACCATGGGGCCTTCTATAGAGGTCCACCACAGAATAATGAATTCCCTATTCCCCAAAACACAGATGGGGAAGGCTCAAGTTCGTGCTTGGAACTGCTATGCTGACAGTGAAGGCTTCAGGAATTAGATGGCAAAAATAGGACCATCCATTGTTGAGGCATCAATGGAAATCTACTAAGTGCCCCTAGCAAAGGAACAGTAAATCCAGGTCTCAGTTACTCTTGTGATGAAAGCAGTTAGCACCTAGCACCGGAACAAGAAATCCACTGAACAAGCAGTTAAAAAAAATTTTTTTTTTAAATATTTTTATTTATTTGAGAGAGAGAAAGACAGAGGGTAAGAGAGAGCATGAGCGGGGGGCGGGGAAGGGAGAAGCAGGCTGCCCCCACTGAGCAGGGAGCCCCATGCAGGGGCTCCATCCCAGGACCCTGGGATCATGACCTGAGGGGAAGGCAGACGCTTAACCTACAGAGCTACCCAGGTACCCCTGAATAAGCAATTTAAACCCATAATCTGCACCTTCTTCACCCAAACATCCTAGCAAGAGGGGCCCGATTTGGCGACTTTTCCTTCTCACCTAGCAAAACCTTCAGCCACCTTGGTTTCACTCTGTGCCAGGAATAAAGACAGATCTCGTCCTTGCCCCTGGAGAGTTTCCAGCCTCAAAGAGAAGGCAGACTCAGGGTTCAAACAATTACAAGGTGGGTGAGTGTTGTTGCTGGAGTGTGTGGGGGAGGGGGGAGGGGGCTCACCTAGCCTAGGCGTGGAGCGTGGAGCGAGACCTCCCTGGGGAGGTGGCATTTTGACGTTTAAGGCAAAGCCTAAGGACAGGTAGGAGAACGCAGGGGCAGGCCAGGCCGTGCTCTGGGCGGCCAAGTGGAGGAGAGCCGGGGGAGGGGTGCCCAGGTTGAGCCAGAAGTCCCTGCCAGTGTGGCCAGCGGTGGCCACAGCAGTCAGGATTTGGGGTTGTGCAGCGGCAGTGGGACCCCACCGAGGGGCTTCCCTACCTGGCCTTTCGCACTGTCCCCGACGCCCCCGCTGCCACCTGCTCTGTCCTGGGCACACCTTCCGGGGCATTTCGGCAGCGATCGGCCACCCGATGGGCCGCGGCGCGGAGCCCGGCTGGGGGTGCCCCGGGCTCCGGCAGCAGGTAGGTGCGGCGCGGATGGCGGGGCTCGGTCCGGCCCGGTAAAGTGCCCGGTCCCGGCTCCCCGGGGCCCTGGGCGCACGCTCCTCCGTGGGTTCTCCCAAGAAACGGCCGGATTCTTCGGCTCGGTTTCCTGCCTTTGATCCTGCTGTTACTCCCCTAGGGGGGAGTTATTTATAGAAGGGAATAGTTTGATCACCTCCTGCTCGTCTGGTTTTGCTTTTCTTATTCAAGATGCCCGGGGGCTGGATGCAATCATCTTTCCAGGGTTGAAATCTCGTTCAAAGCGGGCAGCATAAAGCAGTTCCAATTCAGCTGCGTCATCTGCTCTTGGCTTCTTCAGGAAACGGCCTTTTCTCTAGTTAGGGCTTTACAAGCATTTATAAACCCGATAACGCACAGGCCCTGTGGTTACTGAGTTCCTTTCTCACAGTCTCAATTTCTCCTTTTATTCCACCAGATTTACTGTTATTTTATTGTAAATTGCCTGCAATGCTTTTGAGGCTAAGATGCAGGATTTGCATAAACTCATTTTATTTTTTTTGTTTAGCTATAGTATAGGTTTTTTTTTTTTTTTTTTGAAGTAGGCTCCATACCTAGCAAGGAACCCCTCACAACCGTAGATCAAGACCCTGAGATCAATACCTGAACTGAGATCGAGAGTCAGATGCTTAACCAACTGAGCCACCCAGGAGCCCCTATATTAGGTTTTTTTATAATTGAAGTGTAGTTGACAATGCTTTGGGTGTGGCACATAGTGATTCGACCACTCTATGCATTATGCTGTGTTCACAAGTGTAGCATTTAAAAAATACGTTTGCATTTAAAAAAAACCACAGGTTGACCTGCGAAGCAAGGGACACCAACAAGGAGCATGGCAGCTTTTCTGGACCCCTTCCTGGAGTCTTGATGCTGGTGCCTCTACAAAAACCCAGTGAAAACAAGAAAGCAGAGCCATGGTGGCCTGGGAATGTAAGGGGCTGCATGTAATGCTCCCATTGTCCCACTGAGTCTTTCCACCAAACTTTGCTTTCCAGACCCATGAAACTTCCAGTAGCAAAATTTGATAACAGGTGTGAGGTTTTTTTGTTTTTTGTTTGTTTTAAATAAGCAGGGATTCACTTTCCCTAAGCATGGAAGTCTCAGTTCCTAGGAGAAAATGCCCCGGTTGGCTGAGGGAGAAGAGAAAATTCAGTTATTATGTGCCTCATCTGCCCCTTTTCATGGCCTCTGCAGCCACAAGGGGAGGACCCGTTGGTGTTGGGTGTTACCGAAGTGACTGTAATTTACACCGAGTTTGCTTTTTGATAAATTATCATCTGTGCTTTGCTGGGTGACATTCCCAGGGTGCTCTGCTGAAGGGCCCCTGAAGTTTTTGACCCTCAGTCCTGTCACTCCCAGTTGTCCCTTGATGCCCCTCTGCTTGTCCCTTTCTCAGGTCTCAGGCTGTCTGGGATTTTACTTGGCAAATCATGAGGCAGCAGATTATATTACAATGTTTCTGTCCTCCTTCCTACACACTGGGGGGTGGGAGGAGGATGTCTACTCTGAATTTTCTAAATTACTGTGGTGGACACTGAAAGCAGCCACAGTCCAGAACTTGACACTGACTGCAATTTAAATCTCATCCTGTTGGGACATTAAATGATAACACCTGAAGTAAAGGTTCAAATGGTAGGGATGTGAGGCACTGTGACTGGTCGGCTCAGGAACATTTGGGGGCAGACACGCTTTTCTGTGCCTGAGGAAGGCAACTTGATCTACTTGAAAGGAGACCTGCTTTGGGTAGACCACAGCCCGTTTCCTGTGCTGTTAGAAGGAGGTAATAATATTCACCCCTAAGAGTTAGGAGGATGAAATGAAAGCGTCTTGTTCTCCTATTCCCTTCCTTTTGACTCATCCAGGTGGGCTGTTCCTGGATCAGGTCACTACCAGGCCCTGTGTGCCCACCTCCTTCTTTTTTTTTTTTTTTTTATTTGAGAGAGGGAATGAGAGACAGACAGCAGGAGAGGGAGGAGGGTCAGAGGGAGAAGCAGACTCCCTGCCGAGCAGGGAGCCCGATGCGGGACTCGATCCCGGGACTCCAGGATCATGACCTGAGCTGAAGGCAGTCGCTTAACCAACTGAGCCACCCAGGCGCCCGCCCACCTCCTTCTTAATCCTCAGCCAGGACCATGTGGATGCTGTTATTCTCCAGGAGGACTGTGAGGACAGAGGCACCTGCCCACAGTCACATGGTCACTGTATGTGTCCGTGTCTGTGCCCGTGGGGGGAGCCGGGGATCTGGGGCAATATTTGAACCCAGGATGCCTGACTCCAGATCGATGCCTCTGTTGCTTCACCATGCAAACTGCAGCTCACACAGGCTCAGCCCTGGGCTGCTAAGAGGATGCAGTGCTAAGGCTTTTTCATTTTGGTTGTAAAGGTTTTAGTCAATTTCCAGTCATTCATTTGATCTCTTTAACCAGCGTTTTAAAAGTGCGACCCTTTTTGTTCAGGAAATAGGAAGACAACTGGTGAGTGGGGCTCACCTGTTTGCTGTTCAGTCTCTGATCTATTGAGGTGGTTTAGACTTTTGAGTCTGCTGAGTGCTGTGTTTGTCTAATCTCTGGAAGCTTATGGTACTAATCGCCCCAACTGGAGGTCTTATCTGATGGGCAGGAAACTATTCACAGATGGTGACTCCCTTCCCCCAACTAGGAATGGATTTTTATGTGCATAGGACGTAAAGGACCACTCCCCTCTGTTGGATGAAGATAAATTTGCTTTCAGTGGAGAGAGTTTTGTGAGCACTTCGCTCTCTAGTGGCCAAGTAGGCAAAAGAGTCAAACAGTTCTCCCTCATCTTACAAATTGAGGTACGAGCCAGTTTAGTTTCAGAAACTTTGATCGAGCAACAGTGAGAAATACCAGGGTTATGAACGTGAATAAGACATCACTGCAGATCAGGTCCTTGTAAAGTGAATCACGTCGTAAATGTATTAGGATTTTATAGCTTGATGATCTGGTTTGTGTCACTCCTTTTTTAAATAGTTGAAAACTGGGACCCAGAGAGATGAAATGATGTGCTGAAGACCGTAAGGCTAGTTCGGGACAGGGGAGAAAATGCCAATGAAATTCAGTAGAAGGTTATCTCCTAATTTTTATGACTTTTTATTTTGAAATAATTTCAGACTTACAAGAGTTGCAAAAATAGTACAGAGTTCTTTGCTCGGCTTCCTCCAGTGTTAACATCTTACACAACCATGGATTTATCAAAACTAGTATATCAACTAAACTACAAACTTCAGATTTCACTAGTTTTTCCACTAAAGTCCACTTAGTTCCAGGATCCAATCCAGGGTACCACATAGCATTTATTACTTTTTTTAGATTTTTAAAAAATTTACCCTAGCATTTAGACTGCAGTTTTAAACTTTGTATTTTCCTGTACTTGAGGTTCTTTAAGATGTTGTTGAATCAGTGACATTCAGCTGTAGTACAGGAAATGTATCCCAAGCCTCTTTTGGTTTTGGAGCTGTTTCCAGAGCCAGCTGTTTGCCGGGAGGATCTTGATGAACCCTCTTACAGCTTTTTGGATGTGTCCGAGTTCTGGACAATCCCAGCCTGTCTGATCTGGATACAAAAGGCTGCCCTCGGGGCCAGCAGCACCATAGTCTGAACCTTCTGCTTCTGTTCCCTCTTGGATCTTGAGTCTCATTTCTATTTATTACTGTTGTGCATAGAGCATTCTTTGCTCTCAGGTGCCTGGTTTATATGGTGAAGGACTTTGGAGTCAGAAGGACATAAATCCAGCCTCCAGCATCCCCACCCAGTTGTGGTACCTTGAGCAAGTCACTCATTTGCTCCTCTGCAGGATGGGGACAACAGCCTCCCTGCAGAGACGAGAGGTCTAAATGTAAGAATATACACAGTGATTAGCATAGTGCATGATGTGCTGATGTGGAGAGAATAAACAAGTTGATGGACGGCACGAGGGGGAGACTAGGCTAGCTGGGTACAACGGAGTCTCGAATGCCAGGTAAGACACTGAACTCCCTGGTGGGCAGGGGTGAACACTGAAGGGTTTGAGTAGGGGAGCGATGAGATCAGAGTTGACCTTACAAAGTCACAATGTGCTGGATTACAGAGAGGCGGGAAGCAGGAAACCCACAGGGAATCATCAGGAGGCTATTGTGTTAGTTCCGATAAGCGGATGAGAGCAGAATGGGCACTTGGACTGGATGAGGGGTGGGGTGGAAAGACGAAACCCTCAAGAGACGGTGTGGAGATGTCATCCACTGATACAGAGGATGTGAGGCAGAGGCGGGACTCCAAGATGACTATGTTCTAGGTCCACGTGAAAAAAAGACTGATGTCATTAACTTAGCTAGAGAAATCAGGACAAAGAGGAAATTTGTGGGGAAAGAAATATAGTTGGTTTTATTCATGTTGCACTTGGGATACCAACAGAAGGTCCAAGTAGGTTTGGAGAAACAATGATTGTGGCCCTGTAGCCATCTGGACATCATGCCCAAAGGGTGGCCACTGAAACCCAAAGAGCAAATGGACCACCCTGGAAGAGAATGTAGGTGAGGCCGGAGTGGGGGGCAAAGACTCCTTCCAGACCAGTGGTTCACAGAAGGGTCAGAGACAGAACTAGGATATATCAGTTAGCCCTGGCTGCCGTAACAAGGTACCGCAGACTGGGCATTTTCAACAGCCCAAATATATGTCCTCACGGTCTGGAGGCTGGACGTCCAAGATCAAAGTATCAGCAAGTTAGCTTCTTCTGAAGGTTTTCTCCCTTTGTCTTCACGTGGTCTTCCCTTTGTGTGTATCTCTATCCTAATCTAAGGACACCAGTTATCCTGCATCAGGGCCCACGCATATGACCTCATTTTACCTTAAGCACGACTTTAAAGGCCCCATCTCCAAATAGTCACATCTTGAGATACTGGGGATAGAATTTCAACATTAGAACTTGAGTGGGGGGAGGGGCACAATTCAGCCCATAACACAGAA